GGAAAACTTTAAGTACACTAGTCTGATTAATTTTAGTTTTAAAACAATCTTTTTCACAACAATTTTTATTTTGAAGAATAAGTTTAAGTATATTTTCATCTTGTTGATTTAAAAGGTTTCTATTTTCTTTTGCTCCTCATCTTCATTTTCTTCTTTAATATTATCATATATTGATCGAAAATTTTCAATTTGAGCTGATGTCAAAATTTCATTATAAGATTGTAATGGTAATTCATTTGAAGAATATGTATCACTTTTTTCTGGAATTGGATCAGATTCTGATTGATTATTTTCAAATTACCTATTATCATCATTTTGATATAATGATTTAAGTTGTTCAAAAGTTTCAGATAAAGTATTTATTGAATGAGTTTCTAAAATTTCAGGATAAAAAATTTCATGTGTATAAGTAGAATTCATAATTTATTATACCGTTATTATCATTAGAATAATAAGAAATCAACAATGGAAAATAAAAAACAAAACTAAGCAAAAGGTTATAAAACAAAAGACTAGCTATTATTTTTGGAAAAAAAATTATTAAAGTATTTCAGAACAAAGAATTGCAATATAAAATACCAAATTGATTTTTTATTTTTATTAAAATGTAATACAAAAAAACCAAAATAAAAAAATTATTTTCATTAAAATGTAGCGCAAATACCAAAATATTCCCAAAGATGTAGCGTAAAATTCTTTCTTCACATCACATGGAATTAGTGTAACTAAATCACCACCAAAAGTAACACAATGATTTTTAAAAAGAAAAAGATAAATAAAATATCACAGATAAAACTAAAGATTGAGCCTAAAAAAAGAATATAAAGAATAAAACAAAATACAAAGAATGAAAAAATTTAAATTAAGAATATAAACCAAAACAAAAAATTTAAAATACAAATATAAAAAAACAAAATAAAACCTAAGTAAAGAATGTGAAGAATAAAATAGAATCCAAAAAAAAACAGAACCTGGGAAAAGAATTCAAGAGAAGTATGAAATAAACACAAATGAACGAAACATAACTCAAGCAAAGAATGAAACAGAACCCAAGCAAACCAAAAATAAAGAACAAAATGGAATCCAAGAGCCAAGAGCAAAGAATAAAATCATGAAAGTAAAAAATGAAATGAAATCCAAATGAAGAAATAAAATCTAAAATATAATCCAAGTAAAGAAGAAATAAAATTCAAGTAAGAGAAACAAAGGAATAAAATAGTCAAAAAATGAAACAGAATCTAGGCAATGAAACAGAGAAAAGAAAAACAACAAAAAATAAATATTAGTAAAAAACAAATACTAAGCAAAAATAAAATGAAATAAATAAAAAAACTTACCATGAAAAATAAACCTAAAGATCTGAAAAAAAAGTATTAAAAGAACGAAATATAAAAAATAAACGAAAAGGTATGATTTAAAAAACACCGTAATTTTTCAGAACAATGAGTAGCGAATTTAGTGGGTCAGGTAAATTAACACCTAAAATATTCATCAATTTTAGGACACTGGTATGAATGTTCAAATGGTTATCTGTATACTATTGGTGAATGTGAAGGAATAATGCAAGCTAGCAGGTATAGCGTATTTTTTTTATTAATTTATTTATTTAATTATATTTATTTATAATTTAAAAAATTAGGTATCCTGATTGTGGAGCAACTATTGGTGGAAATAGTCATAATCTAACTAGTAGAAACAAACTTAATGTCAAATTTGACACAATAGGCAGTAGACCATGAAGACACGAAGATGATAATTTATAACGAGTTTTTTTATATAGTTTTTTTTTGTAAACTTAAGTTAAATATTGTATTAGATTGTGTTCAGATCAAATAAATAAATATAACTTAAACTTTTTGCGAAATTTGACCTAAAGCTAATTATTGAAAATATCGAATCTCAAACATTGTCAAAACTGAGATACATAAATAATATGCATCAGGTGATAAAAAAGACAGTTTTGCGAACCATTTCCAACCTGTTTAAAAGAACTCTCAGAGAGGCTAAACTTTAAGTTAAAGCAGAAAGAATTAAAAAAATTGCTGAAAAATGACCCTGAACTTTATTTTGATACCTTTAACAATTGAATAAAAGGGGAAGGGGAAGCCTTCAAAATTGCATCAAATCTAATTGGTTGTAGATTTAGACCATTTTCTCAACACTCATTATTTTCAGTATAAAATTGATCGACACGACATCTCCTCAATTTAAAATGTAACTAATCAGATATAGGATAACAAAAGTGTTACAAGGCCATAGCGCAATATTTTATTATGCTAGTGTGCTTTCTATATTAAATAAAAAATGTTCCTCAACTAAATCTACATTTAATAACATTAAAAAAAAAATATTTTGTCAGATATCAATTTGATCCATTTTCCTAGCACTCACCCCATATTTAACAATATTATGGAATTACCCTTGTTCATATATCTCTTTGATTCATGCACACCATCGAGTGGAAAATATTGTTAGGAAAATCAGGTTCTGAAAATTTTTTGATTTATCTCTGAAAATCAGTTTTTGGCATAGTCGTGAGCCAGTAATTATGATAAACCTCATATTGTAAATAAATGACATTAAAATAAAAACAATAATCCTAGGTTATATATTTTTTCTAAAAGTTTTTTAAAAATAATTTAAGAATCATTTCTATACAAAATCGAATTAATCGTGAATCGAATTCGAATTTATAGTGGTGCAGTAAACCTGACTTGAGACATAATTAAACTAATTATCCTTTTACAAATAAAAATATGCTACATAAAAAATAATGAAGAACAACTCTATTTCTTTTATAGTAAAAGAAGAATAAAGCAGAAAATAAAATATTTATCACTATTGAACCTAAAATCAAAAAGAAATTAAAAAAAATTGAATAAAAGCCATTTATCACTACTGACTTAAAGCAAAAGAACCTGAAAGTAAAAAAAAAAAAAAAAAAATAATTACATATAAACTGGAAAATCTGATTAAAATATAAAAGATTTAACATCAATAAATTTTTTTTTAAAAAAAAGGATAAATTATTATATAAATAAAAACATAAATTCCAATATTAACTTAATCATATTTGAATTTACTGCTCTTAAAGAAAATTATGAAATCTAATATTTTAAACCATTTTTAATTAAAATTATGATCTGTTTCTATTATTACAATATGATTATATTGATCATCTTAAAATTTGACATGTATTAAAATCCAGAACTTTGTATTTAAATATTATCAATCTATTCATATAAAAAAGAATGCTATAATTTCATTTGATAGACTTTCAGATTATTATAATATTTGCATTAACATATATTAAGAAGAAGTTATTTTTTTATTATTTTGGTAAAATCAACTTGATGTAAATTGATAGCATCAAAAAAAATAATATGTGATATATATTATGCAATCTTTACTTTATTATATATGATGTGATATGATATATTTTAATATAATATTATCAAATTATATATAAATTATATAATATAATAAATTAATATTTTAGTTATTATAACTCTTATTTTATACAAATTTACGATATTTTAAAGTTTGATAAGTTTCAATATATCTTGTAATTCTTGATCATTCTACCACTTGTTTATTCAAAAGGATTTGTTTTACAAATTAATTTTAATTGCTAAGAATCTTTTCTATAACTTTTATTAAAATAATAACGAATATTTTATTCTTGTATTATTAATATTTCCTTTTATATTTCTCTTTCTATTTATATTTCTTCTGTTATTATAATTTCTTTATTTCTGCATTTTATTCTTATATTATTAATGTATATATATATAGTTTAGATTTTTATTGAAACATAGTTTCAGTGAAGTTAATGAAAATTAATATTGTTAGATTATTCTTATTATATATATATCATTTTTATTACAAGTATCCAGAATACTATTTTTTTTACTAATATTAACTAATATATAAAATATTTCTTCTACTTTAATTTTCTTTTATATTTCCTAAGTTCTTTTTATTATTATTATTTCCTAAGTTTTATTAATAGTTTTTTTTATATATTTTTTTATATTACTTGTAAAACATATTTTATAAAAATTTATTTATCATATTTTTCTAAGATTAGATATTTCTTAAAATTAAACATCTTCTTACTTTAAATAAATACTCTCAAAAATTAGCATTCCATCTATAATTTATTTTATCAAAAATAATATTTACAATAAAGTAAATCATTATGTTTAATTATTTTTAATCCTTTCTCTATTTTTATTTTAAATTTTTCTCATAATTTTATTAATATTATTTAATATACTCTCATTTTTTTAAAAGAACAGAAAGTGTTAATATTAAAGATTTTTAAACTTTTCGTTTAAAATTCTTGCAAAAAAAAATAAATAATTTTTAAAAAACAGTATATAATCTACTATTTATATATATTATTATTTTTGAATTAATAATTTATTACTATTTAAATAAAAAATTAATTTTAGAATTACAAAGAATAACTATTATATATTATTATTATTAAAAATTCACCCTTAAAAAGTTGAATACAAAGAATTATCAAATGATCTATAAAAGTTACTGGGGGTAATTTTTTGTTAATCATAAAATTAGAGGATCTGCATAATTCCTGATTTTTCTGATTAATCTAATTAGCCTGATTAATCTAATAAGCCTGATATTCATTATTCTTATTATATTTATTATACAGTCACATCTCGGAAGTTAGCATAAGAGCCAATTATAAGTAAATTCATTATTATTATAATGAATTATTCAATAGATGACAAATATAATTTTATAATGATGTAATTAAAGTTAATTTTATGATATCATTTTATAGAATAATCTCACTGTAGTTAAAGTTAAAGTGATCTTGAAGCAATTTTAGTAATGTAAAAATTGGAATTAATTTTAAATGAAACAATTTATAATAATAAATATAAATTTATTTTTAAAAGTTTTTATTATTATTAATATTAAAATAAAAAAGAATGGCTTTTTTTAATACAAAACTGAGAACTCTTTAATAAACAAAAAAAAAGATAAGAAAATTTATTAACAATAGTTCAAAATTCAATTAATCAATATAATATTATTTATTTATATGAAAAAATATTAAAAATAAAAAATAAAATTAATAAAAAAAAAAAATAAAAAAAATAAAACCTCACAAAATAAAAACCCCACCTCCGGTAAAAAAAAAATTTAAAAATCCTATGATAAAAATAAAATAATTAAAAAAAATTAAAAATAATTAAAAATTCTTCTGATAAAAATAAAAAAATTAACCCCCTTCTTGTTCCTTCTATTCCCAATTATTAGTTCACTATTAGTACATTATAGGCTCTCCTTCGATGATAACTCTTAACTAAAAAATATAAAAATATTTAAAATATTTAATATAAATCTAAAAATTTCTAAAATTTTTATTAAGAACTATCAATTAAAACATTTTTAATAATTATTTGACCTATTTAAAAACCTAGTTTAAAATAGATTATAAAATCATTTTCTATTATACAATCACTTTTTCTCTTTTCTTGTATTATTATGATAATCACAAAAGTCCTAAAGGATATATCTTAATTACTTATACTATTAAGTTATATATTATTATTTATTTATTAATTTACCTTATAATTTCTTATCAGATTTCTCCACTTCTGCTCACATTAACAGAATAATCATATTATAACATTGATTATTTTTCTCATGACATTCTACCAAAATTCCAATTTATTCTCATGAAAAAATAATGATACTTATAATTACACTACCTCCTCTCTTCAACCAAGTAATCAGTCTTCATATTTCTTTAGATAATTCTCGATTTAGCCATTTTTTATATTGATTTATAAAAAGTTAAAAAATTTGAAATGATTTGAATTACTAAAATAATTGAAAATACAGTTAAATCTTAATATAGCAAACCCTTAATATTGAATTTTTAAGTCAAATATGAATATACTTTATTATAGTAAACCAGCCAATTAAATTCTTTAAAATTTTTATTATAAGTTTATAATGAAGTTGAGATTCAGATCCTAAAGTTCATTATATTAAGAGTTTACTATATATTCAAAAATAAAAAATTAAATAATGGTAAAATACTTTCCTTTAAAAATAAAATTTCTTTATTATTAAATCAAAATTCTGATTTGATATCTTGTGAAAACTTAAATAATACAAAAAATTTACAATTGATATATTCAAATTCTTTATATTTAAAATTCTAATTCAGATTTCAAAAATAATTCAACTGAAATATTATTTATAAAATTAGATCAATACAAATATAATTAAAGTGAAAATTTTAATATAATAGATCATTCAATTAAAAACAATAATAATTCATCACCTAAATGATAAATATAAATTATTATAAAAAACAATATCACAATTTGATAAAACCAATAGAAAAATTAAACAAAAATTTATTACAAATTGATTAAAAATTATAAAAAATAATATGAATTTTCAATACAATTACAACATAATTTAAATATTATTATAGGGTATTATTTAGTAAATTTGTATTTTTATAACATCATTTTATTATTATTACATTTATTATATAAAAAATAAAAATATTCCTTTTAAAAAAAAAAATTATTATTAACATTATTTACATTAAAAAAATAGCCTCAAATTATTATTAATATTATTATTTTAAAAATCTATTATTATTATTCAAATATAGTAATAAAATTATTAAGATTAGTTTATCTCACTGAAATAAACTGCTATTTCAAAGCTTCTTTTTTAAGCTTTTTAATAAGCTTTAATTCTTTATTATTTATATATCTTTATTTTATTAAATTATCATTATACATATTATACAAAATAATATAATCTAATAGTTATATATTTATTTATTTTAAAAGATTAAATTCAATTTAAAAAAATTACAATATATTTATTAGTTTCCAAGCTTTCATTTTCATTTACATTTGGATATTTTTTTGAATATCTTCCAAACGTTCTAATTGTTTAAAATTTGATTAGACGCTTAACCCTTACAATCAATGCTTTTATCATAACCAATCCTTTTCCAATAACAAGTTGAAGAGTATATGCATTACATGCTTTCCATTTGACTCCATCCATATCTGAAATTGCTTTCTTTATATTCATAGCATTGACAGTAGTAATCATAAATAGCTTTTCACATAAATTCCATTCTGTTAAAGTTTCTTCCAAACTTTCAGCAATATGTTGGGCAGTATATGGATACCAAACATAATTCACAGTCAAAATAACTTTATGTAATTCAAATTTAGTATTGATATATGAACAAGTAACACCAATATAACCTTATCCATTTTGTGCGGTCTACATGTTCATGATCAATGATATGCTTTTTGCTTCTATATTGATTTTTCGATTAATGCCAGTAGCATAGAGTTATAAGAATTAGAAATTATTTTTTTGATTCCTTTTTCTTCTGATATTACAAAGCAGGATTTAATTCACCAATTAGTTAACAGAATGAAGGATTTCTAACTACAAATAGTAGTTAAAGATCATTTATTATCCAATCAGTTAGAAATTGACGTAGTTTATATTGCTGACTTTCTTTATGTTTTTGAGTTTTTACAATGGTTGGAAGGGTTGTCTGATTCTGTATAGTAAAATAAATGAATAATTTTTTATAATTTACAAAAAAAATAATAAATTAAATTTAAAAAATTAAAACAAAAATACTGACTTGATTTTTTTTGCCCTCTTAGTTATTTCATAATCGTTCAATAAGTGGTTGATAGCATTTCCAGTTGAACTATCATTAATATAATAAGTTCCGCATTTGTTTCCGTTAGCATTCAAAACTTTGCATCTTTTAAGTGATTCCTCTTTTTCACTTAATTTCTCTTCAATATCTACTTCTTCAAAATACAGTCCCTGGCAAAAAGAATAGCGGTAAAATCTGTATCAATTTTTATGCTGTGGATTTACTGCTTTTTGGAATTAAGCATTGATTATATTCCCAAATCAGATATTGGAATCAGAATTTAAAAGGTATATTAAAAAAATAAGGTTTGTTATTTGTTTTTATTTTGATTTTATCTCCAAAACTATGCTAAGCTTTTTAGAAATACAACGAAACTCCGTTAAGTCACTTTGGGATCAAAGAGTGCATAATGCAAAGGAAATTTCTAAACGAT